ATATCAGAATCAACTGAAAATGAATGCGGTGATTGAAGAAGCTAGTACCAGTAATTCACAATCGACATCTACGATGCAAGATGAAGTTTCTGAAAAGGAATTTTATTTTATCAACAATATGACAGACTGTCCTTTACCAGAGTCTTTAAATAAACCTGCCAAAATTATGTTAGACCTTAAAATCAACGAACAATCAATTTTATTTGAATATGATACAGGAGCTGCGGTATCATCAATTTCATATAATCAATTTATATCACTATGTCCAGAAGCAAGAATTTTTCCATCATCTTTACCACTTCGTACGTATACTGGGGAAGTGATTCACCCTATAGGATATTCTACAGTTGAAGTTACCTTTAATACACAAAAAGCTGTGGCAAATTTGTATATACTACCGGGCAAGGTAGAACCAGTTTTTGGAAGGGAATGGCTTCAGATTTTTCAAGTCTTACAAACTCAGATCCATCAAATACAAGGAAATTTAAATATTACTATTTCAGATGATCTTGTACAAAATACAATAAGGCAACTAAAAGAGAAATATTCCGAAGTTTTTAAAGAAGGAATAGGGAAAATTAAAAATTATGAAGCAAAACTTTACTTAAAAGATAATACTAAACCTATTTACTATAGTGCTAGAAAAGTCCCATATGCCTTGCAGGAGAAAGTGGAACAGGAAATTGATCGTTTGGAAAAATTAGGTATCATTTCAAGAATGGAATATAGTGAATGGGGAACACCGGTAGTACCTATAATAAAAAAGGATGGTACTATTCGGTTATGTGCTGATTATAAGGTTAGCCTAAATCGAGTTTTGAAAGATGACAAGTATCCAATACCAAATCTAGAAGACATTTTTGCAAGAACGATGTTGGGTGGAAAAATATTCACTACATTGGATATTCGGGAAGCGTACCTAAATATGCCTATGGAAATCAAAAGTGCGGAAATTCAGGCAATCACTACTACTAAAGGAGATTATAGGGTAAATCGATTGATGTTTGGAACGAAGGTAGCCCCGGCCATTTGGCAACGATATATTTCGAAAATTTTATCAAATATTCCAGGTGTTTGTGTATTTTTAGATGATATCAAAATTCAGGGGGTTAATTGGGAGGAACATTTAGATAGATTAGAAAAAATTCGGGAAAATATTTCCTAATAATTGTGGATGCTTACTCAAAATGGCCAGAAATTTTTATTACTAAATCTATGACTTCGGCAGGAACAATTCCGATACTCAGAAGTACATTTGCACGTTTTGGTATTCCAGTTGTAATGGTGACTGATAATGCTCCCACTTTTAAATCTCAAGAATTTTCAATTTTCGTTAAAACTAATGGGATTAAGCATAAATTTTCAGCACCGTATCATCCATCAACTAATGGGCAAGTAGAACGATACGTTCAATCAATGAAAAAGGCACTAAAAAAGATGGCTCTAGAAAAAGGAAGCATGGATATTGATTTTAAATTACAAAACTTTTTAATGCAATACCGTAAAATGGAACATTCAACCACCGGAGTATCACCAGCGTTATTACATTTAAAGAGAGAAATTAGAACTAAATTAGATCTAATCAAACCAATTCCAAAACTAGAAAAAAATTTACAAGATGCTATTACGCACAAAACATTTTCGGTTGGAGAATCAGTACGATTTAGAAACTATAATAAATCGAATATGTGGAAATTTGGGAAGATTATTAAAAAAGATGGTATTTTGCACTATTTAATTAACGCAAATGGCATGATTTTTCGAAGACACGTGGATCAAATAGCCAAAACTGAGGTATCATCACAATTTGTTTGTGATTATGACCAAGAAGTATCCTTGACTGACAATTTTGATGACGGAGATAATATCCAAGCTAGCGGATCTACTTTTATTTCGGAAAATAAGACAGTATTACCCAACCAAAACGATTTAAGTAGAAAACCGGTAGGTGAGACATCTTTACTAATCGATAATAAAAACGACGCTGATGAGGAAACTTATCCTGAAAGAGACGAGTGTTCATCCAATCCTGATACTGAAAGCAGAACAGACGAATATGTACGAAGCAGTGATAACGATAGGGAACCAGGACCAAGAAGAAGTACACGAATTAGAAAATCAGTTAGTCGATTTAGTTATAATTAAGGGGGGGAGAATTGTTATGTTTCTTAGTGCCTAATAACACGGTATGTTATGTATTTTAGTAGTTTGGTTTCACCCTTTATATTTATTATTTCATTGTCATGTCACTATGACAGACTGGGGTTTTTTGTCAACGTTTATTATATATTTTTCAGAGTTCGAAATAAAGAATTATAAAGTACAGAGATATTTTTTAAATGTTCTTTGTGTTCTTGTTCTCCCTCGATCTGCATTGACACTCTCAAATTTTCCATGGTCATGCTGAACAGTTGAAATAAACGTACGACAGTCCGGAATTCTCCGATTTGGAAACCGTTCGCGATACAGGATTTGTGCTTGCCGAGAATTTTCTCCAGCTGCCCCATAAACCAGCACTATATCCGTTAGTTCAATATTCGTAAATAGTGGCATCGTAAAAAAATATTTAAAAGTAATCGTAACAACACTTTTTACCAACTTGGAAATGACGCGCTCGTGTTAGCCAGATTCGTAAATCAACTAAAATTTTAATAATCTATAGTTTCAAAAATGTATAGTTTAAAAACAATCATTTATCAAATATTCTAGTTTTTTGATAACGAGGGTAGTAAAAACCAGTCTTCGGAAATAGAAATTAATTCGAAAATCTTGGCAACATGGTTATTTCTTACAAGACTAGTTTTCTTATCATCTGACAGAAACTTGCATATTAATTACTGTTGATGTTTAAAATAGGTAAATAAACCTAATTTATATAGGTCATCCTCAACATATCAGTGAAGTACGTTTGTTTTAGAATTAATTTTCAAAAATTAATAACTCCCTTAATAAGGGGTATTTTTAAAAAATAATATTTTTCTACATTCAGTGGGGATCTGCGCAATACCCCATTTTAATATGTACGTGTATTTCAATACCACCCTGTATAGACATCTAGAAGCATATTATTATATTACTAGTAAAAAAATATAAAAAAATCTATCGATAAGAAACATAATTGTTAATTTGATAGTTTGTTTATTCCTCCTCTCCTGTACCCCCAACTGCAAATAGCAGTCCAAAAACAGTCAGATGAGGGACTATTATACTAATTATATTATTATCATCCCATCCTCGTATCTATATCTGTAAGTTTCAATAATTAAAAATGAATTTTTATTGTGAAAAGAATTATATTTTGTAAAAACTGTTTTTTATATAATTTCTCAACTTTAGTCACCATGCAAAAAAGTACCGTTACCTACTCCACCTTTAACTCGAAGCATCCAAGGTTTTCTTTTAGAATTGTTAAACGGAACCAACTAGAATTTGCATTGTTTTAGTTAATGTCAGGTGTTGCTCGGTGAACAGAATACATAACCTGCCAGTTGCATGACCAAAACAATAGCGAGTTTCTGGAGGAAAAAAGGCGTGTAGAAACGATTGGGTCAACAGTCTTTCACACAAACGAGACGTCGCGCTCTTGCAATTATTTTCAGTATTTGTGCGGTTTTGTGAAATAAAAAAAGGTAATTAGGTACCTATTGTATGATTTTTATCGGTTTTCTTATGTAATAAATGTTATGGATAACGCCTGCGTGCACCATTTTTTCGAAGAATAAGAAAATAATTTAGTCTAAAAGAATCACAACAAAGTCTGGAAAAACTAATATTACAGTCAGAAAATTTCAAATTCGAGTATGAATATGAAAAATACATTTCACTTCTGAAGAAGGGTCGTCAGTAGGGATCTAATTTTTTTTGTATTGGATGTTTTCGGATGTAAAGAAAACATATAAATGATTTACTGACAGCTTAATCTGTAGTTGCACTATACTACCCTTATTGTCAATTTTTTGGCTATTTTGGAGAGACATTTTTATAAAAATTGTATTTAAGTGAACAAGGGATTTTAAGAAACCAAAATGCACAAGAAATTATTAAATCTTAAAGCTTCATTTGTTAAAATATGGAAGATGGACAATGACGGTCTTAGCACCCAGTCACAGATACGTTTGATTTAAGTTTTAAATTACGAAGTAATATATCCGTTTATTTTATTGGAGAAATGAGAGTAAAATTTACTTTCTACAATCATATTCATAGGCGTATCCACCCATTTTGAACGCTGCAGGTACTGCATGAGTCAAAAGCAGATAATTTGATATAGAATACACGCATTCTTTAACCTAAAACATGAAAATATGTAAATATTTTAGAAAATATTCAGCAATGACTTACTTGGATTTGATAACAAGAAAATGCTTTGAATTTAAACGAAGAAAATCAGTCACCTGCTCCAAATAACTTTCTAATAAATCACACGACCAGTAGCTCTTTATAATCATAATTACTAATATGTTAAAAATATTGTCGCCTAATCTGTATTATAATTTAACTTAATCACCCAAATTGACTTATAATGTTGTCCCAACAAGGACAAGACACGATATTTCAATATTTTAATAGATTATATTTTAAGTACCCGGCCTCTACTTCGGTCATGGCTCCTCCGGGAGTCATTGCAGAGCGGAATACTTCCTGGATCTTCGAGAAGATATCCTCCTGCGAATTATAGGGCTTAAGATGTAATTTAACATATTTTATATTGTACATATTGTAAATAAAGACTTTTTGTAACTAACTGTTTTATAATTTATCTACTTTTTCTTTCATCTTTTATTTTATGATGGTTCGCATAATGCCACTAGTCCGAAATGAGGCACATTTACTTATTTGATAACACAAAGTAGTCATAATTATTTTAACCCTTTAAGGACGGCTGACTGATATATCCATCTCGTGTTTAAGTTGGTCTCTGGACTGATGACACATTTTTTTTTTATTTCTAAACAGTGATTAAAATATATTTGACTTTACTTATTTCGTTTTTGTTCCAGAATGTCAACCCTCCTAAAATGGGCCCAAAATACTCAAGGTAAATTCAATGGAAAAACCACCAACGGTACAACTAACGGTGAGAGAAAATGGATCCATCCTCCTGAGGCTTTACAAAAGGGACATATAGCATATCTTGTAAAATTTTTGGGTAATACAGTGGTAGATCAACCAAAAGGTTAGTAATCACAGGGTATTTCGTAACGAAATATACATATGTTATTCATAGGTGAGGGTCAATGTGTATATCAAAATTTAATCTTTAACTCGTCAGGGGCCAGTTTTGATTTTTGTATAAATTTATCATGTTACTATAACATAAAACCTTTGTTTGACACTTATAACGTTTCATGGACATAATATATTATTACGTATTCTCATATCATTAACTATAGTGTGTAATTTGTAATGTGTATATTTGGCAGCTCAAAATATTAGACTTTAAATTCGATTTACCTTGTCTAAATAAACGAAAAAGGTTAAAACGTTATTTAATGTAAGCTTTTGATGCTATTATTCTATTGAAAACTGTATGTATTGGTAACTTACGGATGTCATTTTTATTATTTAATTTATCTTATCAATAGACAGAAGTATAGGAATTTATTCATGGTACCTAAGTTGTACATTTTATCCTTTATATAACTGTCAAACATACCAATCTTGAAATAGGTTATTTTTGACGATAATGCAGTGTCAATGCGATAAATATCAACAGCATTATTTCACATTCAATCTTGTACGGAATTTTAAACCCTTTAAATGATAAAAATTACATATATTAACAGCAACTCTTTTGTATTTTCAACCCTTTTTATTACGACTGGAATTGTATTTATTTACAGGAATAGAAATAGTCAAAGAAGGTATTCGTAAGTTAAGATTTAACCAACAATTAAGGAAAAGTGAGAGTGGTGCCAAAACGAGGAAAGTAGAACTAACGATCAGTATTGATGGAGTTGCTATACAAGAACCTAGAACTCATAGTATAATGCATCAATTTCCTCTACATAGGATATCGTATTGTGCCGATGATAAAGGAGAAAAGAAGTTTTTTTCGTTTATTGCAAAACAACCTAATCAAGGTACGTAATACTATAATACTTATGAATCATCGAAAAGTGCTGACGTAAAAGAACTTTTTTATTAACAATTTTTTTCTGAACAGTAATCAAAATGGGACAAAATAAATAGCAAAAAGATTAACTGTAGGGGTTATATTATGATAAATAAAATGTATTTAAAATAAATAAACAACAATAGTTGATATTTTAATTTTCATATACTTCTATCGGGAATTGAACCCTCGTCGCGACATGGTCGTGACGTGCAGAGATAAAAAGTTGAATGCTATGTGATTTGAGCTATCAGGGTTATGTCATTTGAATTATTTAATTAAATATGTAAATAAAACAGGAAAAATAAAAATAATGTAGGTAGTTACTTTAAAATTATTTTTATTGTAAAAAATAAATATCTGGGATCATAGTATGAAAATTAATATTAAAAATTTAATCATCAAATCGATTTTAATATTAAAATGGATATTAGATAAATTAAGATAGAAATTATGGGTCTTTACATCTAATTGAAGCAAAATTTCCCAAAAAATAAACATCTAACCGAAGCAAAAAAATCCTCCCAATTTCACATAATTTTCACATTACCTCACTATTTGTTCTCCATTCCCCCACAATTTCATACATTTCCACAGAATTTTTATTTAATTTCTCCCCAAATTCCCTCCATAATTTTCTCTAAGTCTCCCCACAATTGTTCCCAAATTCTCTATTTCCCCATAGTTTTCCAGCAATATTCTCACATTTCCCCCAATTTTCCACAAATTCACTTTCTTTCCCACAGAATTTCCCCCAAAATTCTCACATTTTCCTACTATTTTTTCACAATTTTCTTCTATTTTCCCACATTTCTTCACTATTTGTTCCCCCAATCTCCTACAATTTTCTTCATTTCCACATAATTTTTATTTAATTTCTCCCTAAATTCCCCCTATAATTTTCTCTAAGTCCTCCTCAATTGTTCCCCATAATTTTCCAGCAGTTTTCTCACAGTTCCCCCAATTTTTCACAAATTCCCCTCCTTTTCCACAGAATTTCCTCCAAAATTCCCACATTTTCCTACTAATTTTCCACATTTTTTTTCTTCCTATTTTCCCACATTTCCTCACTATTTGTTCCCCATTCCTCTCACAATTTTCCTACATTTCCCCACAAATTTTCCCACATTTTCTCTCAATTTTTCCTGAAAATCCACTCACAATTTTCTCGTAAGTCTCCGCACAATTTTCTCACAATCATCTTCGAATTTCCCCCATTTTCAAACAATGTTAAACATTGTAGGAAATTCCTACATTTCCTCACAATTTCGATCTCCTTTCCCAGAGAATTTCCCCCAAAATTCCATTTCCCTATAATTTTTCCACATTTTCTTATTATTTTTCCTCTATTTTCCCAATCTATTAAAATCTATAAAAATCTATTAAAATGTATTAAAATTTATTAAAATCTATTAAAATCTATTAAAATCTATTAAAACTTATTAAAATCTATTAAAATCTATTAAAATCTATTAAAATCTATTAAAATCTATTAAAATCTATTAAAATCTATTAAAATCTATTAAAATCTATTAAAATATATTAAAATCTATTAAAATCTATAAAAATTATAAAAATGTATTAAAATCTATTCAAATTTATTAAAATCTATTAAAATTTAGTAAAATTTAGTAAAATTTATTAAAATCTATTAAAATCTATTAAAATCTATTAAAATCTATTAAAATCTATTAAAATCTATTAAAATCTATTAAAATCTATTAAAACTTATTAAAATCTATTAAAATCTATTAAAATCTATTAAAATCTATTAAAATCTATTAAAATATATTAAAATCTATTAAAATCTATAAAAATTATAAAAATGTATTAAAATCTATTCAAATTTATTAAAATCTATTAAAATTTAGTAAAATTTAGTAAAATTTATTAAAATCTATTAAAATCTATTAAAATCTATTAAAAATCTATTAAAATCTATTAAAATCTATTAAAATCTATTAAAATCTATTAAAATCTATTAAAATATATTAAAATCTATTAAAAATTATAAAAATGTATTAAAATCTGTTCAAATTTATTAAAATCTATTAAAATTTAGTAAAATTTAGTAAAATTTATTAAAATCTATTAAAATCTATTAAAATCTATTAAAACTTATTAAAATCTATTAAAATCTATTAAAATCTATTAAAATCTATTAAAATCTATTAAAATATATTAAAATCTATAAAAATTATAAAAATGTATTAAAATCTATTCAAATTTATTAAAATCTATTAAAATTTAGTAAAATTTAGTAAAATTTATTAAAATCTATTAAAATCTATTAAAATCTATTAAAATCTATTAAAATCTATTAAAACTTATTAAAATCTATTAAAATCTATTAAAATCTATTAAAATCTATTAAAATCTATTAAAATCTATTAAAATCTATTAAAATCTTTTAAAATCTATTAAAATATATTAAAATCTATTAAAATCTATAAAAATTATAAAAATGTATTAAAATCTATTCAAATTTATTAAAATTTAGTAAAATTTTGTAAAATTTATTAAAATCTATTAAAATCTATTAAAATCTATTAAAATCTATTAAAATCTATTAAAACTTATTAAAATCTATTAAAATCTATTAAAATCTATTAAAATCTATTAAAATCTATTAAAATCTATTAAAATCTATTAAAATCTATTAAAATCTATTAAAATCTATTAAAATCTATTAAAATCTATTAAAATCTATTAAAATCTATTAAAATCTATTAAAATCTATTAAAATCTATTAAAATGTATTAAAATCTATTCAAATTTATTAAAATCTATTAAAATTTAGTAAAATTTATTTAAATCTATTAAAATCTATTAAAATCTATTAAAATCTATTAAAATCTATTAAAATCTATTAAAATCTATTAAAATCTATTAAAATCTATTAAAATCTATTAAAATCTATTAAAATCTATTAAAATCTATTAAAATCTATTAAAATCTATTAAAACTTATTAAAATCTATTAAAATCTATTAAAATCTATTAAAATATATTAAAATCTATTAAAATCTATAAAAATTATAAAAATATATTAAAATCTATTTAAATTTATTAAAATCTATTAAAATTTAGTAAAATTTAGTAAAATTTATTAAAATCTATTAAAATCTATTAAAATCTATTAAAATCTATTAAAATCTATTAAAATCTATTAAAATCTATTAAAATCTATTAAAATCTATTAAAATCTATTAAAATCTATTAAAATCTATTAAAATCTATTAAAATCTATTAAAATCTATTAAAATCTATTAAAATCTATTAAAATCTATTAAAACTTATTAAAATCTATTAAAATCTATTAAAATCTATAAAAATCGATTAAAATCTATTAAAATCTATTAAAATCTATTAAAATCTATTAAAATCTATTAAAATCTATTAAAATCTATTAAAATCTATTAAAATCTATTAAAATCTATTAAAATCTATTAAAATCTATTAAAATCTATTAAAATCTATTAAAATCTATTAAAATCTATTAAAATCTATTAAAATCTATTAAAATCTAATAAAATCTATTAAAATCTATTGAAATCTATTGAAATCTATTAAAATCTATAAAAAAAATCGATAAAAAATCTATAAAAATATAAAAATCTACAAAAATATATATAAATCTACAAAAATATATATAAATCTATAAAATTTAGGTATATATTTATTTCGCTTAAAATTGTATTTTAGAATGGATATAAAATTATATGCATTCAGTACACTGATATTGTCTACATACTCCCTCTGTAGTATATGTAATAAATACATAATAATGTACGAGTGGATGAAAAAAAAAAAAAAACTTTAATTTTTCAGTCGATAACGAAGCAGAAGAAACTCACGAGTGTTTCGTATTCATATCCGATAAATTAGCAGAAGAAATCACTTTAACGATAGGCCAAGCTTTCGAATTAGCATACAAAAGGTTCTTGGAGACCTCCGGAAAAGATTTGGAATCGCAACGGCAAGCCATGATCACACAACAAAAAATCAAGAGGTTAGAACAGGAAAATAACGTTTACAAACAACGATTGTTAGATATAACCCATTTCGCTAACGTCAAACCCGAATTGGATAACTACTTACGAAACCACGGTATTAAGAATATCTTAGAGATTAAAATTAACAATGAAAAAGTAAATAATAATAATAATAACAACAACAGTCAGTCACAAATTAATGGTATTACTAAGGAGCTTCTGGATTTGGATTCTGAGATATCCAATGGAAATCTCCCTCCAGTACCACCTAGAACGTTTGATAATCTACCGAGCGTAGGAACTAAACTTGAAGGGTATGTATTTTTTTAATATGTTTGTATGTTTATTTTATATTGTATTTTTTATATACTTTCTTTGACTTGCTATAAACATTGTAATTAAAATAGTCAAATATATCTATATCCATCTGTCTAATCTATCTATCATCTTTATCTATCTATCTATTTATCTGTCCTATCTACCCTGTCTATCTGTTTATCTGCCTATCTATCTATTTATCTATCTATGACTTTGGCACTTACTCCAAAAATGTAGCACCGAACTGTGTTATTTTGACGTTTGCCTTAAAGCAGAGTAAACCATGGTTGGACTGGTGTTTTTTTTTTCAATTCAGCCCAAAATATTATGCCCTTTCGATTTTTTACGATAGGCTCTTAGACTATAATGCTATTTATTGTTTTTTCAGCACCACTTATATTATAAATACCACAACGTCACTAACTCTTTATTTTTTTTTTCTATCAGAAGATGAATTGTACTTTTGAAAACGTTTCAAAGAATCTAAAAGTGTAAAAACGTAGTGAAGTAGTCGCTGCTAATGTGGTTTAAAGTACCTTAATTAATTTAAAATTAACTTATCTTAAAATGATCTTCACAACAAAAAGAAATTTATTTTATTGTCTCTCTATAGTATAGTCACAGCTTATTCAGTACCAGACACTCATCGTTTGAAGTTTGAAAGTAAAATGGCTTTAGGTACATTCACGTTTGCAATAACTAGACAGGAAAGTCCTGTGTTGGACACAGTCCTGCATTTATTGCTATAAAATCGTTTTTAGAATACATTTACTCATCCCAACATACATTTGCAGACTCTTGTTTAACGAATTAGACCCCGACAACGATTTCGATCCAAGATCTTTCGAGGCGATTTCCCATACCACAAACGGTATCGCATCTAGTCCACCGTTGATAGCACCGCCTCCCAAAGCCCCGAGGCGTACGGCTTTATCAGTAAACAGCAACATCACTAACGATTTGAACAGATCTCCAGGTCAAGATTTATTCGGAACGGCACCGTTCAGTCCCAACTCGACAGGCAGTTTGACGAGCAATAAAATGTTGGATCCGTTCGAAATGGGAGATTTCGGCACTGCACCGACACCGCAAGATATCGAAAACGCTATTGGTCTGTTGGACAAGAGGATTCTGGAAATGAAGGTATGTCCAAAATGTTTTACTTTTGGTGTGTCTCATCTCCTACTATTTTTTTACCTAGTTCATGTTACCATTTGTATAGGAGTATGACATTTTTCAGGATTTTTGGAATTTTTACGTTTTTAGAGGGAAAATGGGGGGAGTGAAGGTTTGCATGGGAGTATCGATTTTTTTAAAAGGTAGGGACTTGAAAATTGGAATTGTAGCTACTCATCATAAATAAATAATGACGTTTTTCAATTTTAAGGAGGGAAAACGGGGAGGGGAGTGAAATTTTGTGTAGGAGTATCGGTTTTTTAAAGGTAAAATAAATAAAAATAATAAAAAAAAAAAAATGAAAATAAATCAAAATTAATCAAAATAAATCAAAAACAAAAAAAATTAAAAATATCAAAATAAATAAAATAAGAATAAATATAAATAAAATATTTACTCTATTTATGATTCACATAAATAATATATAATAAACAATATACAGGGTGTTCCAATATAAAGTTTTAATAGCTTAATACTCAAGAATGAAAACAGATATAGACGTGCAATTTTCGCTAAGCTTCTTACATTTCCTTCAAGTTTTTTTTGACATAGTTGCCAAATTTATATTTTTTCCCGAAATTGCTGAAATAAAAAATGATATTTTAATTTTAATAAATTTGAGTGTGTTCGTTTTTGATCTACTTGACATACATTTTTCATCATTTCTTAACGTCAGTCATATTTCCAACAATCTTACAATTACATGTTTTTGATGTAGATTTATAAAAAATATCTCCCTAAATCTTTATTAAATAATCACGATGTATACATTTTTGAAAAGGGGAAGAAAGGGTCTTTCAGGTGGTATGAAAAATCCTAGGGTGTTCTATTTAAAGTAAACCGATTATTTGGCTTAACAAAAAGGTAAATTTTTTCCGGCAATTTAGGAAAAAATATACATTTGGCAACTATGTTAACAAAAACTTGAAGCAAATGTAAGAAGGTTAGCGAAAATTGCAACTCGATGTCTTTTACCGTTCTCGAGTTATAAGCTGTTATAATGGAACATAATTTAAAAATATTTCACAAAATTGGAAGTCGGTCCTGATCCCATTCAATTTTTAAGCTATAAAAATCTAAAAATCTGTAAAAATCTATAAAAGAATCTATAAAATTGTACAAAAATCTATAAAATCTTTAAAAAACTATAAACACTAAAAATCTATAAAAAATCTATTAAAAACTATGAAAATCTGAAAATACTATAAAATTTTTTAAAAATCTCTAAAAAATCTATAAAAATTGATATAAAAATCTATGTAAAAATCTAGAAAAACTAAAAATCTATAAAAAATCATTTATAAAAATCTATAAAATTATTCAAAATTGTATAAAAATCATCTATAAAAAATTATAAAAATCTCTAAAAAAAATCTATACAAATTTATATAAAAATCTGGAAAAACTAAAAATCTATGAAAAATCATTCATAAAAATCTATAAAATTGTACAAAAAACTATAAAAAAATCTAAAAAAAAATTTATTAAAAAATATAAAAATATAAAAATCTGAAAATTCTATAAAAATCTATTAAAATCTATAAAAAAAATCTATAAAAATCTATTAAAATCTATAAAAATCTATTAAAAACTATAAAAATCTGAAAATTCTATAAAAATTTATAAAATCTATAAAAAATCTATAAATATATAAAAAATCATTTATAAAGTTCTATAAAATTGTTCAAACTATTATAAAAATCATCTATAAAAATCTATAGAAATCTTTAAAAAACTAAAAATTTATAAAAATCTCTAAAAAAATCTATAAAAATCTAGAAAAATTAAATCTATGAAAAATCATTTATAAAAATCTATAGAAATCTTTTAAACACTATAAACACTTAAAATCTATAAAAAATCTAAAAAAAATCTATAAAAAATCTATAAAAAATCTATAAAAATCTAGAAAAATTAAAAATCTAGAAAAACTAAAAATCTATAAGAAATCATTTATAAAAACCTATAAAAACTAAAAATCTATAAAAAAATCATTTATAAAAATCTATCAAATTGTTCAAAAGTGTATAAAAATCATCTATAGAAATCTTTAAAAAACTATAAAGACTAAAATCTATTAAAAACTATAAAAATCTGAAAATTCTATAAAAATTTATAAAAATCTATAAAAAATCTAAAAATCTAGAAAACTAAAAATCTATAAAAAATCATTTATAAAATCTATAAAATTGTACAAAAATCATCTATAAAAATCTATAGAAATCTTTAAAAAACTAAAAATTTATAAAAATCTCTAAAAAAATCTAGAAAAATTAAATCTATGAAAAATCATTTATAAAAATCTATAGAAATCTTTAAAACACTTAAAATCTATAAAAAATCTAAAAAAAAATCTATTAAAAACTATAAAAATCTGAAAATTCTATAAAAATTTATAAAATCTATAAAATTGTACAAAAATCATCTATAAAAATCTATAGAAATCTTTAAAAAACTATAAAAATCTGGAAATTCTATAAAAATTTATAAAAATCTCTAAAAAAATTTATAAAAATTTATATAAAAAATCTAGAAAACTTAAATCTATGAAAAATCATTTATAAAAATCTATAAAAATCTATAGAAATCATTAAAACACTTAAAATCTAAAAAAAATCTAAAAAAATCTATAAAAAATCTAAAAAAAATCTATTAAAAACTATAAAAATCTGAAAATTCTATAAAAAATTATGAAAATCTATGAAAATCTAAAAAAAAACTATTAAAAACTATAAAAATCTGAAAATTCTATAAAAAATTATAAAATCTATAAAAATCTATAAAAAATCTATAAAAAATCTATAAAAATCTAGAAAAACTAAAAATTTATAAAAAATCATTTATAAAAACCTATAAAAACCTATAAAAACCTATAAAAACTAAAAATCTATAAAAAATCATTTATAAAAATCTATCAAATTGTTCAAAATTGTATAAAAGTCATCTATAAAAATCTATCAAATTGTTCAAAATTATATAAAAATCATCTATAGAAATCTTTAAAAGACTATAAAGACTAAAATCTATTAAAAACTATAAAAATCTGAAAATTCTATAAAAATCTATAAAAAATCTAAAAATCTAGAAAACTAAAAATCTATAAAAAATCATTTATAAAATCTATAAAGTTGTACAAAAATCATCTATAAAAAACTATAGAAATCTTTAAAAAAACAATAAACAAATCTATAAAAAAAATCTAAAAAATCTATTAAAAACTATAAAAATCTGAAAATTCTATAAAAAATTATGAAAATCTTTAAAAATAAATATAAAAAAATCTTTAACAAAATTGGAAGTCTGTCCTAATCCCATTCAATTTTTAAGCTGATTATGTAAGATCTCAATGGATCCTCTTTAGCAACTATAAACAAACATCTAGCGCCTAAATTATTATTTATCTCCCTCATGAACATTTTCCATTATTTTAAGCATTAGCCCTAGCTCCTTCACACTCATAAATCAGTTTCACTCGCGCTAACATAAATTTAGCCAAAAAATAAACCGTGCAAGCAACAATATTCTATCTTTCTCTGCAAAAATGGTTCAGATACATCATTTGACACTCCCTCAGCCAATCACGATAAGACACAACCACAATTGCAACACACACACTTCCACTTGACAAGACAAACGATGAAATCTGTTTTGACCATCGATACAACAACATCTTTCTCAAACATAAGTTTTGAGATGTATTGAACCTGTTGATCGATCATAAATAGTTAATTTAAGTACTCATATCATTTGACTATGTAAAATTGTAAGCTGAAGAAAGTTTATAATGTAAATAAAGTTGTTAACTAAACATATTTAATTTCATCATTAATAACGTCTAGTAATCCATTTACAAGTGTATACGCACACAACCACAATTACAAGCACACACTTGCACTCGACAAGACAACGACAGCATCTTTCTTTTCTCCCGTCGTGAGCTCGATGCTATTCACTTCAAACAAGTTTTGAGATGTAATAAACTTACTGCACTCCACTGCTCCCAGCTGATGGGAAGAAATCCTTCTTTCTGTGACAGCAATCAGAGTATTTAGATTGAACATTTTCCACTTTGTCTTTGAATAATGGGTCATTCCGCTTTAATTAAATTTCTTTAAATTAAAATATTCGTCTTCCTGTCGAAATGAAAATCGTTATCAATTTTTTTATGTTTTTATTCTTGTTATATTAATTTTTATTTGCAATTAAGGTGTTCGATGTACTTAAAATAAAAATGTACATGAATATTTTACGTTTATAATTTTAAAATTCGTATTTTTTTATTTACAGACTGGATTTAGCCGCGGCATCAGCTTCGGTAATGACGATTTTTCGTTGGAAAGCTTGGATCCACTAAAAAACTAACTTTTTAATTCAGATATTAGTTTAGAAAATAATAAAACATTTAGGACGATGTGAGTCATCTAAATGTGGTCCAATTTATATTTCTTAATGCTCAAAACTTTTATTATTTTTAAAAATAATCGTTATTTTAAAACAAGAATGAGTTGTATCTTTGATATGACATAAAAACATATTTTGTTACAGTCTGGTATTCAATTATATTTCAAGAATGTTCTATCGCTGACTTGCATTCTTATTCTTCAATTAAAACAAAAATACTTTTTAATTAATTAGGGAATATTTTGATTAATATGTGCCATTTAGTTTATTTATCAATAATTTTGAGAATTGTTGATAAATTCGTCAAAAAATTGAATAAGTATTAAGATACAGGGCATTCTTATTATTAAATACAAGTAAAAAAAATACTTATTAAATTTAATTTTAATAAATTATAAAAAAATTGATTAAAATTTCAAAATTCTCGAATATAATCGGTGGTTCATGTCATTATAAATGTATTATTCATACTTTGTCATATTGGCAAAAAAAATTCGTGATTTTATGACTACGTCAAACATATTTTTTTATATAAATTTAGGTTATATTTTTTTTTCCTCAAAGAAGTATTATATTTCGTATATCTTTTGTTATATGTATGTTATTGTTATAAGATTTATATATGTATATTTCTAATTTCTTAAGATATAAACATTTTTGGTAACTGGATTTGTGTGTTTTATTTTGATATTTTTATTTATTTTAAAAAATATTTATGTAATTATGTGTCAAAAGAATTATACATGGTTGCGTGAAAGGTTTTGAGCTTTTGCTATCTAAATATTTTTAAATAAATTAAATGTAATATAGAAGAAAAAAAAAATTCTTTCTATTTTATTAAATATATCCGTTATTTATGGTCGGAGTAGAAAATTCTTTGAATAAAAGTTGCTTGTAATATTATTCTCTATAATTTATGTTCCATACAAAATTTTCCTAAAATGGCCCGTATTCGAGAAATTTGACAATATGTAAAAAAAATAATTTTTTTAATTATTTAACCAAAAGTTGTTTGTCATTTTGTATAATTCTTGCCTTATACATAATTTCTCTAAAATGGGCCGTATTCGAGATATTTAGCAGAATTAGAACATTTGGGGGGTACTTTGTAGGGGCCGTTTTTCTATTTTATGAAATATACTTGTTATTTATGGTTACAGAAGAAAAATATTCAAATATAAATTGTTTATAATGTTCTTCTCTATAATTTTTGTCCTATACATAATTTCTCTAAAATAGGCCGTATTCGAGATATTTAGGAAAAAGGGCAAATTTTGAAAAAAACTTAAAAATCGTTTAAGAGAAAAGCAAAAATTTTTGAATTTAAGCTTTAATTCATCCTGCGGTGAGCTGATTAAATTTTAGCCATAGTTGGAACATTTGGGGGGTACTTTATAGG